TCTGGTTAGCAGTCAAGCACCTCAGGCACTATGCTACCAGAGCTCTCTAGCCTGCCAAATTTAACAGCATATCAAACAAATCATACACCATGGTTAGGTGGGATTCATACCACAAATGCAAAGATAGTGCAACATAAGAAAATCAATTAATGTAATTCAACACATAAATAAAACTTAAGAATCCCATGATCACCTCAATTGATGCAGAAAAGGCATCTGATAAAATCCAACATCCTTTTCTGATAAAAACTCCCAGAAAACTAGGAAGAGAAGAAAAATTTCTTAATATATTTAAGAGCATAATTAGAAAATCAAAAGCCAACATTATTGGCTTTGTCTTCCCCTTGAAAACAGGTTCAAGACAATGATGCCCACCATCACCACTTTTATTCAATATTGTACTGGAAGTCTTAGAGCAATAAGAAAAGAAAGGGAAATAAAGGGTATCCAACCAAATTGGAACAATATCATTACTATCATATACAGGTAAAATTCTCCTGAAAAATAATTCAAAACCAGTTGTAGGTGCACATTGACAGGGAACTGCCAGAGAGTCAAGTTGGATTCAGAGGAGGATGTGGAATGAGGGATATCATTGCTAATGTCAGATGGATCTTGGCTGAAAGCAGAGAATACCAGAAAGATGTTTACCTGTGCTTTACTGACTATACAAAAGCATTTGACTGTGTGGATCACACCAAATTATGGATAACGTTGTCACAAATGAAAATTCTAGAACACTTCAATCTTTTCTCCATTTATCATGATGCTGCTTATTGTTTCAGTTGTGAGGATTTTCATTTTCTTTTATGTTGAGGTGTAATCTGTACTGCAGACTGTAGTCTTTAATCTTCATCAGTAAATGCTTCAAGTCATCCTCACTTTCTGTAGGCTTATGTTACATATGTTTGGATGTGCAGCATATATATTCATATATAAAATAAAGCACATGGCAGCACAGTTATGGACAGAGCCAAACAGCTCACAGGACTGGGTTACCGGCTTTGAGGCCCTAGGACCATAGTCTCACAAAGCAGCTCAGTCAACTAGCATCACACACTTCATAAAGGCAATGTTCTACGTCGCAGTTTGTTAAGTACCATCAGGGGTCTTAAAACTTGCAGTGGTCATCTAAGATACTACTACTGGTATCTGGTATCTATGCATCTGGAACAAAATAGAAAGAAGGAAACCAAAGGAGAAGCTAGTTTACAGGACCAGTATTCCACACGAACCACAGCCTCCCCTACTTTGAGACCAGAAGTACTAGATGGTACCTGGCAACTACTACTGACCATCCCAACCAAGGACACAAGTCATGGTCCAATACAGAATAGGAAGAAAATATAGAAACTCAAATTGCTAAAAAATGGCCAGACTTAATGGACCGGGAGAGACCACAGGAGCCCCAGAGACTTATCACCCAAGCAAACCTTTCAACTTAGAACTCAAACTACTCCCAGGGGTCACCTATCCATCAAAAGACAGAAAGGCTCATAACATAACTAATATCGCCTACAAATACTGTGCTCCTCTAAGCAATTATCTAAATAAGACCTAAGGCCAACACCTAGACCAATGATGAGATGGTAAGGGGGACAAGGAAGCTAGATTAATGGAAGCAGCACAACCAGAATGGAAATAGTAAGAATGCAGACACATTGTGAAAAGCATGACCAATGTCACTGAATAATATGCATAGAAATTGTTACACGAGAGCCTAATTTGCTATGTCGATTTTCTCCAAGGTTACGATAAACTACTAAAAAAAAAAAAAAAAAGTCACAGATGGGAGGTCAAGAGATGGCCCAGTACCTCTTGGTGCTGACCCTGAAAGACCCACAGAGGTGTCCTAGGGAGCAAGGTTGAAAGCCCAAGTCTCAGCCATTCAATATGTAGAAGGGTAAAGAAGGGAGGACAGGCACTGCCTGGGTTGAGCAGTGGTGCCGCTAATCCTGAGGCAAATGCAGCTGCCCTGAGCCCCGGTCCAGGCGTGTCCCCCACACTGTGCTGCAAGACGTCCCTCCCTTCCCCACCTGCCAGATAAAGCCATCCATCCCAGGAGGCTGTTCTCAAACCTCAAGTGTTTCTGCAACTTTCTACATGCATGTTCCATCTCTGTGATTTTTGTCCTCTCCACATGCCAACCAAACAATCGATCGTTTTCCCTAAATTGGCTTGCCTTTTTACTGAGGTAATCACATTCAAAACTTGCCATCACACCTGTCAACAGAAAACAGGTAGCATTTGCCTCAACTGGAAGGGAGAAGCATAGTATTTAAAATAGAAAATGTCTCCGCTGTACCTACATCCACTGTCCAACCACGTCTCACCACCCCCTCTGCTCCCCAGCTGGGCCTCCTTACTTTGACCTTTGCCCCAGCATCCAATCTCCACACGCAGCCATGGGGAGTCTGTCAGAACCTCACTTCTGCTCAGAAACTTCCAGTGCCTCTCCATGGGTCCTCCCAGTGGACACAAGGTTGGGTGGGACCTGGGGCCCCACTGCTTAGGCAAACTTATCGTCTACCCTTCCTGCTCACTGTGTCCTAGCCACACTGGCTTCCTCAATGTTCCTCATGTTCCTAGACATGGTTCCACCTCAGGACCTTGCTGTCCCCCCTTGGCCTAGAGTGCTCTTCCTCCAGATAACACCTTGACTTCCTCCCTCACTCCCCCAAGTCTTCACCTCAATTCTCAGTGGAGCCTTCCCTAACGACCATCCTTCCACATGCCTCATGCCCTGTCCCAGCTTGACATTTTTGCTTCACACTTACACCAACTGGTTCTTGTGTATTTCACTTCTTCATCTGTTAATATGTTAATATGAAACATATTATCTGTCTCCTCCATCCCCAACTAGACCCTGAGATCTAAGAAGGTAGAAATGGTATCCATCCCAATACTACTCTATCCTCAGAGCCTGAAACACCACTCAGCACACAGTGGGTACTCATCAAATATCTGTGGAATGAATGAAGGAACCCAGCATTTTGCAACAAGCTGCCAGCAGCAGGTCCTATCTACAGGGAACTAGGACAGTCTGTGTCCCACCACCACCACCACCACTACCATCCCCAGGCCTCTGGCAACTCTTCAGTGAGAGGAAGTTTGGCCAGCCACCTGCCCCTGGGGACACTTACTCTTTGGCCTTGGTGGCCACTAGGAGGCGCAGTGGGCGGCGGGAGCAGAAAGACTGGTTGAGGATGGACTCCACCTCTGAGAAGGGCCGCAGGAACACCAGGTCCTCGTTGATGGAGTAGACCTTCCTCCCCACGTGCAGGCCCGCCATCTTGGTGGGTGGCATTGGAGAAACATGCACACCAAGTTACTAACTTCCTTTCTTCCTCACTAGGAAACCTCGAATATATTCAGGCAGCATGACGCAACACAGGGAGCAAGCATGACCAGGGTAGGCCCACCATGACAATCCTGACCCTGTGTGTTAACTGGTTAAAGGGTGCACGCGAGGCACAATTCTAGCCAATCAGCTATCAAGCAAAGCCTGCTGGAGGGCCTAATGTGAAAGATGTTTTTCCTTGAGGAGAAACTCTCTAGTATGGCCTAATGTGTGAGGACACAAAGCATCAAACTGGGGCAGTCATCTTGTGACCATGGGAGGTTGGCCATGAAAACTGAGACGATACCAGCCCCGAACCAAGATTTCTTTGCCACCACTTTGTCATTAGGAAAATAAAGCTCTACTGTTTCAGCCACCATGAGGTGAGTGTGTGGCTGCTTGCAGCCAAAAGCATTCCTATTTGCTGCAAGGAAGCCAGCTGTACCTGGACAACATGGTGGCTGCATCTCCCTTCACCCTTCCTGGGAGATGCTGAGAGGACATGAGGCAGAGGACCTGGTGCTGACCTGCCTGGGCTTTCCTGAGCAACTTGTGTACATACGAGAGCAACAGTCTTAGTCAAGCCACTGTTAGTTGGTGTTTTCCTCTACCACCAAAAGCCAAATCCAAACCTGTTGCCATCAAGTTAATTTCTACTCATAGTAACGCTATGTGACAGAATAGAACTGCCCAGTAGGGTGCCCTAAGGCACTTGACTGCTCACCAGAAAGCTGGAGGTTCAAACCCACCAGCCACTCCTTGGAAGGAAGACTGGGAAATCTACTTCCACAGAGATACAGCTTTTGGGAACCCAAGGAGGGGATAGTCACTATAAGTCAGAACCGACTCAATGGCAGCGAGTTTGTTTTTTTTTTTTTTTTTTTTAATTTCAACAGGAGCAAATTTTCTCACACAGAATGGCTGGTGGGTTAGAACAGCTGACCTTTTGGTTAGCAGCTGAGTACTTCACCACTGTGCCATCCAGGGTCTTTATTCCATTATCACAAAACCAAAAAACCAAACTCGCTACCATTGAGTCGACGTTGACTCATAGGAACCCCCAAGGCAGTAAATCTTTATGGAGGTAAGTTGCCCTGTCTTCCTTAAATGGAGTGGCTGGTGGGTTTGAACCACCAACCTTCTAGTTAGCTGTCGAATGCCTTAGGCACTATGCCACCAGGGCTCCTTTCTATCATCACCACTAAACCAAAACCAAACTCACTGCTGTTGAGTTGGATCCAACTCATAGCAACCCCTCCATGGGTTTCCAAGGCGGTATCACTACGAAGTAGATTGCCCAACCTTCCTTCCGAGGAGTGGCTGGTGGGTTTGAACCGCCAGCCTTCTGGTCACAGTTGAACCTAAATCCTAACTGATTCAGAAGCCTTCTGCTTTTTTGCTTGTCCTCCCCACAGGGCCCAGGAGAGGGAGCTGGTGGAACACGCTAGGAGAGCAGTCCTGAGCAGCGGGGCTCTATCCCAGCTCCCCCTGCAGCTGCAGACAAGCGGGTCCTAGACTCAGTTTCTCCACCAAGGGGAAGGAGAAAAGGGGAACAGCTGACATTCCAGGATTTGCTGAGCTGGTCTGTCTGCCTCGGGACCCTAAGAGGACCCTTCAAGGAATGTTGAGAGGGACCTTCTGCTCTGCCACCTGCAGGCAGCCCCAGCTGGAGCGTTCTATTCCCCTGCCCTTAGAGGCTCACCTCAGCCAGTGAGCCCCTCTCGACCGACTTCACCACCACAGCCTTGTTCTTCTCCTCGATCTCAAAGCCGTAGTCCTCTTCCTGAGGCAAGATCTGCAGGTCCAAGGCAAGAGGGATCAGCCACATCATACCCACCCCGGACTGTGACCCTGGCAACTCTGTATGCCTCAGACCGACCAAAGGGTAGAGAGGGAAGGGCCTACAGGGAAGCCAACAGTGCCTGGCCCATAGCAAGTGCCCAATACACGCCTGTCAAATGAGGACATGCCACCTGGCTCTCACCATGACCTATGACTGATTACATGTTGGTTTACTTTTCACTGTCTCTCTTCCTACCTACTGGCATACACTGAACCAAAAAAAAAAAAAACCAAACTCACTGCCATCAAGTCGATTCTGACTCATAGTGACTCCCTCCTCAGGTTTCCAAGGGAGTATCTCTACGGAAGTAGATTGCCCAGTCTTCCTTCTGAGGAGTGGCTGATGGGTTTGAACTGCCATGCTTCTGCTTAGCAGTCAAATGCATTAGGCACTATGCCACCAGAGCTCCTTTACACCTTACACTAGGTGCTCAGTAAATATTTACTGACTGAATGAATGAATGAAATTGGACCAAAGGAGCCGAGCCACCAAGGATGTGGGTCTAGGAAGGAAGCTGAGTGGGAGGGAGTCCTCCCCACAGCACAGTGGCAGGTAGTTGAGCGATTTAACCACTGCACCACCAGAGCTCCTTTCTTGCACGAAAGTAAGGTTAAATAAGAACCATATGCACCTATTCTAACTTACCTACAAATTCTCAAAGACCCACGAAGGGCTCTTGTTTATAACCCCAGGGACTCTGCATTGCAACACCTAAGAGAAGTTGAGCTTCTCTCTTGATTGGCTACTGTGGGCCAGGCATTAAGATGAGGGCTGGTCAGCAAGCATAGGAACAGGTTTGTTGGGCTACACTGGTGAAATATCTGAACAGGCTGGTAAATGTTCCACCCTAAATAACTGTATGGCAACTGAACACGGACAGGAGGCCAGGCTGACTTTAGTCACACGGTACATGGGCTGAGGGATTTCAGGACTTCACAGTGTCAGCTGGGGATGCGGGAGGGAGCGGGGAGATGGAAAGGACAGGGAAGGGGCGCCCAGTAAGCCCAATCTCTTCCAGGAAGAGGGCTGCTGTTGCTGCTGTTGTTGTGTGCTATCGAGTTCACTCCAACTCATAGTGACTACATGTGACAGAGCAGAACTGTCCCATAGGGTTTTCTTTACAGAAGCAGGGAACCAGGTCTTTCTCCCATGGAGCCACTGGTGGGTTTGAACCATCAACCTTTAGGTTAGCCAAGCATTGAACTGTTGTACCACCAGGACTCCTGGGAAGATCCCTGGCTGATAAACAGACCTGGTCTCTTGACAGTGTCTCCACCTATCTTCCAGAATCCCCCATACTCTTTGGTGCCCAAAGCTGAGCCTCTTCTCTGGCTACAACCCAAAGGCCAGCCAGCTCAGCTCCCAGGCCTGCAAGTGGGTGTGGGAAGAAGGGCCCAGCAACGAGGCCTTGCTCCTACCAGCAGACGCTTGGCCAGGATGTTCTCCACCAGCTTGAAGTCATTGCGAAGTTGTTTGTTCTTGTTGCTGGTCCCCTCCATCTCCTCGTCAGCATGGAAGCGGAAGTACTGGGACTCATCCTTGAACTCGCTCTTCTCTAGCACTGCAAGCCGCACACAGACAAGCACGAGGTCAGGCTCACATGGGAACATTTCAGTAGTTTGCCAACTGCCAGCCAGGGGCTGGAACCAGCACCTAGACAAGTTTGGTTTGGCCAGCACAGTGGTTTATTAAAAAAGGAATTGTGGGCCAACACAAACATATTAGGATAGTTCATATAAACATGTGACTTTCTGACTTCTCTTGAAAAATCTGAGATTGTACCACCTGCTATAAAGCTGTATTGCAAATCTATAGTAACAAAAACCAGTGGGGAACTGGAGCAGAAACAGATAAACAGCTGGTGGGAGAGAGGAAATATCACATAACCCATGTGCTTATGGGAACTTAGTACATGACAGATGATGAATGATCACATGGAGTGCTCCACAGATGGTGCAGGAAAAACTGGCTCACTCAGGGGAAAAGAACAAAACTGTATCCCTATCTCACACCATATACAACAATAAACTCCTGATGGATTAAAGACCTAAATATGAACGTTAAAACTAAAGCTAATTACACAGAACACAGGACAGTATCTTTTGTCCTAGGATGGAAAAGCCAAAGCCAAAAACCAAATCCACTGCCATCAAGTCAATTCTGACTCATAGTGACCCCATAGTACAGGACAGAACTGCCCCACAGGGTTTCCAAGGCTATAATAAAACTTTACGGAAGTAGATTGTCTTATCTTCCCAGAGAGTGCCTGGCAGGTTCAAAACTTTGACCTTTTGGTTAGTGACCAAATGCCTTAACTACTCTACCCAGAGTTCCTAGAATCAAAAAGGGACCCTAATGAGGTGCTCTAGCCTAGCGGAGAGGCACACTGTGGCCCCTCAAGCCAAATCCAGCCCATGACCTGTTTCCATAAATATAGTTTGCTGGAACACAGCCATGCTAATTCGTTTACCCATTATCTATGATTGCTTTCGTGCCATGAGGACAGAGCTGAATAGCTGTGACAGAGATGTCTGGTCCACAAAGCCCACAGTGTTTACTATCTGGTCCTTCACAGAAAAAGTTTGCCAACCCCTGTTCTAGGATAAGCCAGGAAAATGAGTGAAAATAACCTGGAACAACCAATACGTTATCTGATCCCTGTGGATTCCAATTTAACTAAACACCTACTAGTGCCAGGCACAGGGTGAACCCAAGGCTAAGTTCATTTGTTCCTTAGACAAGGACGGATTTGCTATACCTATTTTACAGATGGGGAGACCAAGGTCCAAAAAGGTTAAATAAGCTGCCCAAGGTCACAGAGCCAGGAAGGAGGTGGCAGAACCGCCCTCATCTGGCCTTCTCCTTTTCACCGTTGCCTGGCCTGGCTAGTTAGACAGAAGCAGGGATGAACATAACAGCCAAAGGAGGAAACAGAGGCTCAGTGAAGTAAAGCCTGCGTCTGAGGTCAGCAGTCCGGACAGAAGAATATCAGCTGCTTTAGCAGCGACCTGTCCCGTAATCCCTGAAGACAGGCCTTTTAGTGCTTTGGTGACTAAACGAAATGCTGCCTGAGGCCTTTCTTTCTCCCCCTTCATCTCCTAGGGGCCTCCACCTGCTCTGAGTGTCTTTCTCAGGCCTCCCAGTTACCTCCTTGGGGAAAACAAGCACAGAAATGGCTGCCTTCCCCAGAGCTGGGTGCCAGGTCTCTAGGGGCCGCGGGCTTCGCTTGCAGCATAAACATGAGTTAAAAGATTCAAGGGCTGGGCGTGGGAAGCACACCGCTGTGTTTTGGCTGAAAGGTTTGAGGAAAACAGCACAGACTCCCTGAAGTCTAAGTTCAGCAGGGTGAGGTCCGACCTTTCACATCTTTGCGACAAGTCGTCTGCTCTTGGGCTTTGTAGGATGTACACCTGTTCAAATCCCAGTTCAGCCACTTACTACCTTCATGCCCTTTAGCCTCTGTGAGCTGCAGTTTCATCTATGGGGATAATAAGCCGACCTCCCAAGATGGCTTTGAGGATTCAGTGGGGAACCTCAAAAAAAAAAAAAAAACAAACTCACTGCCATCGGGTCAGATCTGACTCATAGGGACCCTTCCTTGGGTTTCCGAGGTGGTATCTCTACGGAAGTAGATTGCCCAGTCTTCCTTCTGAGGAGTGGCTGGTGGGTCTGAACCACCTTCTGGTTTCAGCAGTCAAATGCCTTAGGCACGATGCTACCAGAGCTCCAGTTTCCCTGTATGTGGCTAAAGTGAGGGCACCTTGGGGCCCTCTGAGCTCAGCTCGGACGTGGTGGGAGGTGTGGCGGGAGGTCCTGGAGACCCAGCCCCACCTTCCTCAGCCCTACCCTGCGTTTTGCTGCAGCCCCAACCCTAGGATTTCAGCCTTTCCTGTTTTAGACAATTTTTGAGTTCGTGGCAGGGGATGGGGTGCAGGGCCCACACCCTGCAATTTCTCTCCCCTAGGGGCTCTGAGGGCGTCAGCACTGCTTGGGACTTGCCCCCTGCGGAATTTTCTCAGCCAGCAGCCTTCCCGGAATAGCAGCTGGGTGGACTTCTCATTACTGTCACCCACAAATGAGAGGTTCTGCCCAGCTGACTGGTGGGAGGGACAAACTGAGGGGGCGCCATGGGGAACAGAGAAGCTTCTGGGAACCTTAAGACTCTGGTGAGAGTGGGGAGGTCAAGGTCACTGTCGGCTGAGCTGGCCCTGCCCACCTCAGCTGGGGCTGTCTAACCTCCAGGACCACTAGGTGGCTGAGCTCAGAGGACAAGGTAGTAGCAGGGCCTCAGTGGAAAGAGGGAGGAAGCTGGGGCCCCAAGAGGAGCCTGGCCTTAGTAAGAGTAGCTGGACAGGCCCTGAACCAAATCTGTTGGCTACAAGGGAGATGGACCTGACGACTTTTCAGGCCACTCTCTCAGCCAGCAGTTAGACTAGGGGCTGAAACACTATAGCCCCTACCTAATTCTGTAAATAAAGTTTTATTGCAACACAGCAACACCCATTCATTGACACATCGCCTTTAGTTGCTTCTGGGCTACGATGGAGCTGAGCAGCTGCACAGACCACATGGCCCACATGAGAGAGAAGTGATTTACCTGAGGGGCTGCTGTTGGGGTTGGGTGCCACTGAGTCAATTCCAACTCATAGCAACGCCGTGTGAGGGCAAGGCCAGCAAAAGTGAATGAATGTCCGAGGAAGGGTCTAGCCTGGCTTCCTCCCTCTCGCATTCACAACCCACTCCACGTGGAAACCCATGGGCCCCTACTGCCCACATCAGAGGCCACGTCCAATCCAGGCAGAAGGGCACAGGAAGTCCAATTTGACCTCAATTCCGATCCATGCTCTACCATCTTGGTCCCCACCTGAAGTGACCTCTCAATCCACGCAGAACAGGGGAGGGACCCACGAGCTGCCCATTCTCCACAGTCTCCAGAGCCACAGACCCAGCTTCCGGCCCAGCTTTCCCCACCAGCATGCTGCGCAGCCTCCACCCCTCACTTGCTCTCTCCAGGCCTCGGTTTCCCTTCCCTGGGTCCCTGCCAGCTCTCCTGTACTAGGATGGTCATCCCAGGCAGGCGAGGCCCCTGGGAAGCAGGTCTGGGAAGCAAGTGCATTACCGTGGTGCATAAAGCCGTTGTTACACAGTCCCACGCCAAGTGCCACCGCCTCCTCTCGCGTCTGGCAGTCTCCCTGGAATAAATCAAGAAGGCATTAGATGGACCAGCATCTGAAAAGCCCACAACCCAGGATGCAGGCTCCACAAGGGTGGGGACTTTTCTCTGTTCTGATTACTGTACTATCCCCAAATGTGCTTGTGATTACTACTAGCAGAACCCAAACAAGGAAACTATTTAGTTGTATGTGTGATGAATGCTAAAAGGAACAATGGAGATTTTAAGTGGCAGACACTGTGGGTTGCCTAGAAACCGCCACTGGGGCATCCCTCCCCAGCAGTAAAATCTGGCAATGTTGCAGACAAAGCCTCTATCTATAAAACTACATTTCCCAGACTCCCTTGTAGCCAGAGGTGACCAGTCAGATATAAGCAGAAATCATTTGTACTGAGATCTGGCAAAATTCCCTTTGCCCATGGCCCTTCCTTTCTCTTCCTTCTGCCTGGAACAAAGATGTGATGGCTGGAGCTCCTGAAGTCATCCTAGACCACTATGTGACCGTGAGGATGGGACATACATGATAAGGATGGCAGAGCTGAAAGAATGGCAGAGGGAGTCAGGTCTGCGATGATATCAAGGGGCTGCCCTACCCGTTCTGAGGCTTCTATCATGTAAGAGAAACATAAGCACCTAATCTGTTTCAAAGGAGCCCTGGAGTGCACTTTTGGCTTTTAGCTTTTGGCTGCTAACCAAAAGGTCAGTGGTTCAAACCTACCCAACAGCTCTGTGACAAAAGATCTGGCAATGTGCTTCTGTAAAGATTACAGTCTAGAAAACACTATGGGGCAGTTCCACTCTGTTACATGGAGTTACTATGAGAAGGAATCGAGGAACCGACTTGAGGGTGCCCAACAACTTGTTTCCGTCTCTGTAGTTGGGTCCCTGATATTAGGAATCAAATTGAATTCATAACTGACCCAGTTCCAGCCAATGAGGCATCCAGGGAAGCCTACCAGAGGCTTCTGGAAAACATGTCCCTCCCTGATGAACAGGAAAAGCAGTTCCACCCTCCCTGCCTGGGGCAAAGTCAGGAAGTGAGGCGTGGGGCTGTGGTGGCCATCTTATAACCAAGATGGCTGACTCTGCTGAGGTACAGAGGATGGTGGCCTGAAGAATGCAAGACTCCTGGGTCCTCAAGGACATCACTGAGTCCATACACCAGCCTTGAAACTACCTACTTCCATACTTCTTAAGATGTGGTATGGTTATCTGTTTAAGGCATTGTTGAGTTGGGATTTCTGCTCTTGCATGTAAAAACGTTTCAAGCTGATACAAATGAACCCCGGGGAAAATGGTGCATGTTAGGGCTTCTGGTTGGAAGTGACATCCAATCAGAAATCTGAAGAATGAACCAGAGTGGTCAGTGTGGTGGGCCTCTGTTGGTTCTGCCTTTGAGGCCAGTGCTCCCATGTCAGATGCAGTCTTATAGGACGGTCCATCGGAGCTCACCGCCCTCCCTGGCCAGGTATGCACGCAGGATCTAAGCTAGGCCAAAAGGACACTTCCTGCTCAGGAGCATCTGCTTGAGTGGAGGAGCTCAAAGACAGAGAGCAGTTGGTGCTGAGTCTCCCCAGTGGCAGTGCTCCGAAGTCCTGCTTCCCTGGTTCTGGCTTCTGAAAAGCTGGCATTTCAGGGAGCCTGCCCTCAAAGGCCTGGCTCCTTGGTCTCCCCTGGGCTCTGTGAATGCTCCAAACCCTCCCAATAAGTCATCTTCTTATTGTTCTTCTTAAATAAGCCAGAGACTGTTTCTGTTGCTGGCGACCCAAATAATCTCAATACATCCAGGCAAAGTGTGTGAGCTGTGGGGGAGGTGTTGTTAGGCATGGGGGCAACACAGGCGAAAGTGTAGGGTGGGGAGAGAAGAAACCACGGCTGGCCAGGAGAGGTGACCTAGAGGTCAGCTCCACAAGGACAAGGACCTCCATCTTCCGTGTTCACTGCTGAGTCCCCAGGGCCTGGCCCACAGTTGTAGTTGCCACCAAGTGGGCTCCACTCATGGTGACCTCACATGTAACAGAATGGCATGCTGCCTGGTCCTGTGCCATCTTGTAATCACTGGTGTCTCGCAGCCCATCGTTGCAGCATCTTGTTAATCCACCTCATCAAGGGTTTCCCTCGTCTTCCCTGTCCCACTACCAAACACGATGTTCTTCGCTAGCCGCTGGTCTTTGCTGGTGCTGTATCCAAAATTTCTTCTAAGACTCATTTCTTCATTCTGGGAGCCTGCAATATATTCAGTATTTTTCACTAACAAAGCCATAGTTCAAACACAACAGTCTTCTCCAGTCTTCCTTATTCACTGTCCAGCTTTCACATGCATATGAGGCGATTGCAAATGCCCCCGGATTGCATCAGATGCTCCTTATAGCAGGTGCTCAATAAACATTTCTTGAATGAATGAAGGTGTTGCAGCAGGGACCAAAGCCTGCAGGAGCTTGTGGCCAGGTAACAAGCAGCAACTCCGTCCGGAGGGCCACCGGGTGAGCCAGTCTCTCATTTAAAGGACTTGAAATGTGAGACGTCCTGAGAGGCGCCCACCTGCCATGAGCCGGGACAGGGGCCCTGACTATCCCTCCTTCCTCCTCAGCAGCCCAGGGGGTTGAGAAGGGGATTTCCTGATAAAGAAGAAATGAATGCCATTTGGAAGCTGCAGGGCTCAGCTGCCTAGGCTGGCACTTAGACCCAGACTAGAGGGCCTATGGCAGCCGTTGGCTGTATTTCACTACACGGGCCATACCAGCTAACTCAAGGCAGGACAAATCTCTCTCCTGAGACACAAGGCCAGTGGCTGGAGGGCCAGCATGCTTGGCATCTTGCCAGGGGAGGCGGCCCCAGCTGTGAGGAGCCGGCAGGGAAGGAGGCTGGACCCAGTGGGCAGCAGGCCCACTCTGTGGCCTGGGAGGCCCAGCAGGGTCTAGAGCCCACCTGGCTTTCTGAGGCACTCATAACCTGGGCTCCCTGCCTTTCTCCCCAATCTCCCTGTCCAAGGGCTCTGGGAGGACTAACGGAAAGGCTCCAAAAGTTAGAACAGCGGGGATTCTCAGGTTAACATGCCTGGGCTATTGCCAGAGTGAAACACGGCCCTGGACGCACCACTCCCGCCAGCTGTGGGGAACCACAAGTCAGCAAAGGCAGCATTCCCTCCCTTCCCTGAGAAGGCCACACAGACACTGCTCTAGGGCCCACACGTCCGGGCCACCTCACCAGCCACACTGCCCGCCGCATCTGCCCCAATGGCCTACTCACCGTGACAATCCAGCCACGCTGGCTTCCTGGCCGCTCCTTCCACACCATACACGGCCCCACATCAGGGCCTTGGTGCCTGGAATGTCCCTCTCCCAGCTCTTCAGGTCTCAGTGTCTGTGTCACCTTCTCAGAGAGGCCTTTCCCTAATGACTCCAGTGTTGCTCCTAACTCCCTGCCACTCATTCCCCCAACAAACACCCATCTAGCCACATGCTCTCATCACCCTGTGTGATAACCACATGGTGTCTGTCACAATCTGAAACTAACTCATGCGTTTGTTTAGTTTAAGTTCTGTCTCCCCTCCTAGAGTGTCAGCTCCCTGTGGCAGGCAGTGTCTGCCATGTTCACTGTGTCCCCACTTGAAACACAGCATCTATACTTGGAGGGACACAATAAATACTTGAATGAGTGAGTGAAGGTGGGAAACCAGACTTGCAGACTGACTCTGGACTAAGCCGCGGGTAGAGAGACTTTAGTCTCCCTAAGCCTCGGTTTCCTGCTCTCAATGAAGCAGGAACAATCGCACCCGCCCCTCAGAGGCCTCTGAGGACCAGGTGGGCTGCTCCTGGCGAGACTCTTACCCCTGTGCCTGGCACGCAGAGAGCACTTCTCGCTTTAACTTCTTGCCAGGAAACCACCTAGGGATGGAGGTGCCAGAGGCAAAGCGGAGAGGGGAAATGCAACACAGTGGGGCGTTCCTTCACATAGCGTGCCTCAGACTACTTGGCCCGTCATTTCTGACACCCCATGGAACGCTCATGGTGGCCCCTTGCTCACCATGTGCTGGGCATCACACAGCCTCATCCAGTCTTCACCATCACCCTGGGAGGCCAACCACTCTGATCAATTCAAATTGACAGAAATTTAAGCACCAAGGGGCTTGGCAGCTTGCCCAAGTGTACAGTGAATGGAGGCCTTTCAGGGATGAAGGGCCCTTCCCATCCCCATGTTACAGAAAGGGAACCTGAGGCTTGGAGAGGACAGGCTGGCTGTCCCAGGTTGCAGCTAGGGCTCCTGTTCCTGTTTATCCTTTGTTTCCTCTGTGGTACCTTGAGCTGTTGTCCCCTACACTCCCAGGCCTCTGCTTGCTCCCACCTGGCCCCTTTCTGCCATGCTGAAAATCTGCCACCATCAGCACCCACCCGGGGTGGGCACCCGGGGTCAGCGGGGCAGCACTCTGGACATGTTTCTGCCAAGCCAGCACCACATATTACCCATCTGTGCCCTCCTGCACCTGGCTCCTTGGCCTGTCCCCTGCTGTCTCCTGCCCCAGCTCACTGACCCCTTGGCTCCTTCCCAGTCCAGGCATCTCAGACATAAGGGCACAGAGCAGAGAGGTCACAGAGTGACTCTGGGGCCGGATTTTAGCTCTGCCACTTACTGGCTGTGGCCATGGGCAATTCTCTAATTTTGCTAGTTTCACTTCCTGTGTGCACTTTATTTTCTCAGCCCTGTCTTCTCCAAGGCATCACTACCCCGAGTGATGCCCCTGATCAGCTGTCATCAGGGCCCGCACCAAACCAAAGCTCTGCCATCGGGCCAATTCTGACTCACAGTGACCCCACAGGACAGAGCAGAACTGCCCCATTGAGTTTCCAAGGCTGTAAATGTTTACAGAAGCAAACTGTAATATCTCTCTCCTGCAGAGCAGCTGGGAGGTTCAAAGCACTGACCTTTCAGTTAACAGCCTAATGTTTAACCACTGCACCACCCAGGCTCCTGTCATTAATACAGAGGTATTATGATTATTATTCCTGTTATTATCATTGT